GCTGTGAGAACCTCAAGTCTTACAGGGGTTTAATATGTTCAAAGTCCGAAACCGGAAGTGTTGTAAGCGTGCGGGTTGCGTCACCAATTCCGTTTATTTATCGTTTAAATGCATTTGTCGTGTCCTGGTTTTTCTGTACGTTCCTTTAATTACAGGTATTTTTTTGGCAGACGTCTGTTAAGCAGTGACACCAATGTGTGTGGCTGATTAAAGAAACGTCAGGAAATGTTCACGAATTTTCGAGTAGGTTTCATAGCAAAAACGAACTTGAAAATTGTTATTCTCCTGGACATCCATATTCGCTGGTGAACGACGTGAAGTGTGGAAGTTTCAGTCGAGATACCAGCGTATTCTTTTGTTAAATTCGCACAAATATTCGTTCGAACTGTAGCTGCCTATTATCCACCGAGATGTTTAAGATTCTGATACTCTTAAAGTAAATATGCAGTTAGTGTTTAACTATAGAGGGCCCGTAGTTTTTTTTTGTTACCCGGCAAAATAACAGTTTTCAGTAGTTTCCACGGATCTAATTCGTCTGGGCATGGACTCGAGGATTCTGGATCTTATTTTGATGTCAGTTCTTTCAATGGATAACGTAGTAATTCATATTTTGTATAAATATTGGTAGCTAGGTGAGATTTTAGATGCTGACGGCAGTGAGAATGCAGATGGCTGCTTTCTGGGGTGCCTTTGCCGTGTAGTCTGCTAGAAGTTTACCAACGTTTTAGAAGTGCTTGCTGTTTCAGTCATCAGGGCGATGATCGTCTCTTGGTTTCTGAAGATCATCTAAGCACTCGTAGATTAATTAGCGTTTGAAAGGCTGGATTCCGACTGATGGAATTAAAAAATAAATAAACCTCTAAAAGGAAGGCAAAGTGATTGGATTAACTCTTTATTTTATCCACACATGGTATTTCTGGGTTTCGTGTGATTTTCAGAAAAAAAAAGAGGGATTGTTTCCCTTAACAGCATAAACATTTGATGCTTCAAATGGAAAACTGTAGTTTTCTTTGAGGTTGGAACTCGTTTAGATGAGCTGATATGAACTCAGCATTAAATGACGAACGAAGGGAAATAAAAATATTTACAGACGTATAGAGTCTTCGAGACATGAAAATTACATATCGAACGGAGCTCGCTCGCTATAATCGACTTACAGCCCAGTTTATTAAGAAGAGAAGAATGCTAATATGCCCCCCCGCGCGCAGGCAGAGACAAGCGGTGACTTGCACCTTAAGTAATGTAGGCAGGTGTGAGGGAAGGGCGATGGTTTACCCCCACCAGTTTGCGCATGCGCATAGGAAGGTTCAGAACTATGTTGCGCTGTATACATTTCTGTGGCTCTGGAGTGGAACGGAACGGCTAGTTCAATGTTGCTGCTGTTAAACAGTACGTCAGGGTTATCGTTGTGTGTAACATTTATGCCGAGAAAGCATTTTCTCTGGAAAGGAAAATTAGTGGTCATCTGGAACCTCTTTGTTGCAACCGGATTCCTCTCGGGGCATCCATCACATTATCAGGGATGCAGTGATTAGGAACACTTTTTCAGACAATTCTAAAAAAAAACAATGAGATTTGCCCCCACTTTCGCAATCAGAAAATTATTAGACATTTTGTTCTTTACCTCAACGTCAGATGCAACCAAAATTCAGAAGACAATACAAGAACAAAGTCGATTTCTAGTAGAATCGATAATATTTTCGTTACAGCGGGTGGCTTTGGATGTTCATGCCTTTGTCGCGAGCCGGAGAAAAAAATCAACAATGTCGTTGATACTCACCGAAACTGTATTTATCTTATGGCTAGCATTCAATTGAAAACAGGAGCTTATTTTTTCATACAACGGAGTTAATAAAAGTCACTCAATTTGACTCTTCCGTACTTGGCTTCATGAAAGAATATTCTCGCATTAACTAATTTCCAAATCATCTGGCGTGCATCCGCGATCTGGATCAAATGATGTTATTTCTCGAACAATTGCCCGGATCCAGTATAGCTAATTTCGTAATGACACGTTCATTCTCCACAAGAACCGACGAGACACTGGGCAGGTCGTTCTGACTGTCAATGCACTAATCAACGATACCAACTTAATTAATTTTTGGCCGGTGGAATTTTCAAGCGGAAGGCTAGGAGCGAGTCTCTTGTGCGATAGTATAATGCTGACTGCACGCCCAAACAAAAGAAATACGCTGACCGTGCCACCTCAGGTACACAGAGTAGGCTCGTCCGCCAGCTCCACCGGCCAAAAACTATTGTGTCGACTATAGCACAGCGGTGCTTAGTACGGCCTGGCACCCAACAGAACGTAAGATTGGGATGGAACTGTCCTGTCGGCTAACTGCATTCAAAGTTCCCAACGCATATAGAGTTAAAGAATTACATATCATCCAACAGACAGCAAATACCAGCAGCTACCATAAAACCAACTTACCACAAAGAATATACAAGTAACAATCATGTACAGCCTACACGCTGCCAACATGACAGAAAAAACTGGGCCATGTGTAAGTACACCAGAAAGGAGGTTAAACGTATAAGAGAACATTGAAAGACATTTCACTACATCGAGAGCCCTCAAAACAGCATTTACCCAAAACTACAAAACGCTTATATATTAAATTAAACTAATTGCAAAATTTAATGACTTTCGTAAGGAAGCTAACAATTTAGATTTATGACGTCACTGTCTCAGAACTATGAACACATGCAAGTATGAAGTGCATCTTGAGACAGTTCTCAGATAATCAAAGTTAAATAAGATGCGACTATGT